CTTTTTATTATTAAATCCACTCAGTTGATCAAAATAACCTGTCCAGATATACTCTAAACTACCAACTTAAATTTCGTCCTGAAAGTTGTTTGCAGGATCCGCAGAACTGTATATTAAGCGTTTATTCCACAATGAACGATGGAGCTCTGACCAAATATATACTACAAATTTGGTCTTTGCCTATATACCTTGAATATACCAATCTATACCGAGAACGGTAATTAATTTCTAATGGGATTAAAAAGTTGCACATAGGAATTCTGCTGATAGAAGCGAATAAGCGCGTTCCAGGAAGCAGTTAGGATGATGCGATCGCTGGAACAAGAAGTTTTTTTGCCTGACGTTTTGTTTCGCATGCGGTCGCGTGGCCACTATTAACTATCCATACTATTTAAGCTGTGTAGTTATCGCCCTAATCTGTACATGCATCTACGGTTACCTCTGATGAAGGGTCCTCGACAGAATCCGAAACGTCAGGGAAATAAAATTCCTGTTCCAGCGATCGCATCGTATACTTCAGGAGAGTTTTGTTGGCGATAGGTGAGTGCTCATAAACGAAGGTCCTAACGCTGTCGTTCGCAAATCAATGTAAGTTAAGAAGCGTTACGTTAGGAATAGAGGCTCAAAGGCTGTTGCAATCATTTTATTCGCCCTACTCTTCGGATTCACCCATGATACCATCATCAAAGACAGAAACAAAAAAGATGGGTGTTGTTGCTTTTGTAGGCTACTGGTGTTGCGTGACCGCCACACGCCTTATTCGTTGATCGGGCCTGATGCGGCGATGGTTTAGCCGTTCGTTTTCGAGGCGTAAGTTATCGCATCGATGCTTTGCATGATAAAGGTCCGGCGATTGCCCACAGCAGCACGGTCAAAACGTGCAGCCCTCGTTCGTGCGTTAATTACTCCGTTCAGTCAAGGTCCAGACATGCGAAAGGGGAGATCAGAGCGCTTGCTGGTAGACTGCGGGCCGGCAAACCGCGACAGAGCAGCTTGCGACTCATGCGTTTCTCGAGAAAACTTAGGCTTCGGAAATTCGGAACTTGGAACCGATTTCTGTTGTATGGACAGACTCACTTATCAGGAGCTAATCACACCTTCGAGTTCCCGGTACATGAGGTCAGAATTGGGGTTTGGAGTCAAGGGCAGAAGTTTATGGGGAATTGTAGGTGCCGAAGCGCTCTTGTAGGTGTCGGCGTATTATGTTTTAAAAAAGCTACACCAGTCGGCTCTCAGGCTCTATACATGGTTTCCATCAGGTGTAAATCTGAGTTTTGATCACTTAAGAGAACCGAGACTCGTTCGTGAAAATAAATATTTTTTAATTGCTGGACTCGGATGCTCGAGCATGCAGGAGCAACAAGGAGGATCGTTATCAGCTCCAAGATCACGGAATCAACTTACTCTGAAAAACGGAAACGCGGACAAATGTTTCGCTATTCTGTGCCAGTTCACGTTCGCCCATTGGTCTTGTTCAAAGGACGAAACATGAGCGACTCCGTTTGACGCTGAAGCTTCTGTCTAGAGAACGATAATCTTGTATATGTGGTATGACCACTTCACAAAAAATAAAAAAGAATGAGACCCATCCTAGGAGAACGAAAAAATTGGAATTTTATGGCAGTATATAGCCCTACAGTTATTGTTTAAGTTTACGGAAGTCTATCATTTGAGGACCGCGGGGACAAACCCGCATGAGTCAAACAAATAGCCCACAGCTCATATGTCAGCTCGAAAGGCACAAGACTGGATGAGTGTTCCCTATAACCGATCCATGTGCACCCATCTGCCGCTGTGTTATGTTAACATAGAGCCTTAAATGAAGCTTATTTCACGCGTATTCGTAACACTTGTACCGTGAACTATCTGTCACAGTTCGGTGACCGCTGTAGAATAGGTTTAAGCACCGTAATCTAGAAACACTCACTGAAAACAAGTATTTATGCCTTATTATGGCTTGGAAACGATGGCGCGAAACTTTGCCGCACGTTATACAAGATCCAAGTCCTTGCTT